TCGTTCAGGCTCGAGTTGATTGAGCGCGTGCAATTGGAGGCAAACCAGGTGATGCTACGCACACTGGCTGGGCACGGGTGGGGGAGGAGGAAGGGGGAGAAGAAAGAGAAGAAGAAATTCGACTCGAGCGAAGAGATCCCAGCGACTTCAAACCCGGCAGCGGACGCGACGGATGGTGGTTGAAGATTAACCCTGGCTGGGATATTAGGGGGTGCGTTAAGGCAGTGCGAACCGCCTTGGGGGTCCGGTGAGAGAAGGATGACACGGGTGCGCAGCGCAGTGGGAGAGAGAGAAGAGAGAGAGACAGCGAAGGAAGCAGGGATTTAGAGAAACATGAAGGACCTGAGGATGATCAGAGTGGGCGAAAGTCGTGCCGGCGCCTGGTGTTTGGACCCCATGCTCCTGGCCAAACAAACTGACTGGAGGGAAATGGCGATAGCCAGGGTGAGTCGGGTCGTTCTAGGCCCAAAGAGGAATAGACCAGGGCCAGCTAAGACAACGGCCAAGTCTCAGATGTATTTTTGCTCCAAGATTGTATGATACAGATACCTTCTCTTCTCAGCTAGCCCTGCACTTGTTTAATCTTGGGGAACAAGGATCCAACGGAAGCCGAGCAGGGTCATTAGCGCTATTCTAGCCGTCCACCACTTAAACAGCGCCTTCCATGGCCTTTCCGGGCCGCTATTTATCGCTACATGACCCCATAAACCTAGCATCAGCACCACGTTGCTGGGTCTCCATAACTTAGTTAGCGAGACTTTGCATTGATTGATGAATCTTTTGTTGATGATATGTTTAACAATGGTTCTGCTGCTAAGACACAAACACGGACACGGACACAGAGCACACAACGCTCACACAGATTGTTGCAGTCAATGCAATCTGCAAGGAGGGACTCCTCCGAAAGTTAGTCGCCTCCAACGACAGCATCTTGTCTGCAAGTCATCGTCATTCCCTCCCCCTCACATCAGATCTTGACCCATTTGTGTCTCGACTCAGATCCAACTTTACCTTCCCTATTCCCAATTGCGCTCGACTCCACGTGCACTAGTCAGACTCAGATTTTATGAAACCTCTAGCCCAGTCGGATCTCATCGACACAACGTTAGCCTCCACGCTCGACATCGAGTCAATCGACCTCCTTGCGTTAATGACTCTCTGTTGCGCGACCATGCACAACAGCGAAAACAAGTATTTTATTACTTCCTTTCTGATTTGCCGTGGTCTCGCTTTCTACCGCCGCTCTTCATCTGTTTATTGTCACACACATGATGAACGGAGAATGCAGCCAGCGTTGCGCGCAAAGTGGAAAACAAAAGCCTTGTGAGAGAAAACGCGCAAGTCTCGGCGATTGCTGGCAAGTATACGCAACCACAAACGGAAACGTTTGTCCAGAAATGGTTCAAGAGAAAAGAAACGCATCGGATGCAACCCTCTCACCGTTCTGCCGTGCAGCCACCCCAATCGTGGCTGTCAATGTGAACTGTCAGTTCGATGGGCGACTGGCTGAGACATGCCCCAGCTTAGTCAAATAATGTTTACTTTTTCTTCGAGATTACATTTTGAACATCTGCCCTCTGTAACTCTGGCCAACTGTTCACGTCAGCAATATATCTCATACACGCATTTTCATTTGCGGTATTTTGGGGACGAGTGCTTCCCTTTCTACTTGTGTAGCTCGCCCAGTAGCTCTTGTCAACGTCGCATCGCCGCACAGCGTAACATTATGACCTTCTTGTGCCTCTTGCGTGCTCTAGTGGATACCCTGTCATATGTCATGGATTGTATTAGGGGATTTTCCAGTAATTGCGATGGTAATGCCGATATGCATAAAGCGGGTGTTTTGTATCATGATGGATGTTGAAACATACAATACAATGCCTTTGAGATTGATGTTCGGGAAATGTGACAGAATTCCTGCCCCCATACTCATGATCATAAGTTCCTGGCCTTCAAACGCCTCACAGTTCCAACTTTACCCAGTATCCAAGTGTCAGAAGCGATTTCTTCTAAAGTATCAATGAATAATTTTATTCATAAAAATATCGGTACGTATAACAAGCTCGGGTTCCTGCAGATTAATTTCCAGCCCTTGTCCAATCCCTGCTCTCGCTGGAAGCGCGTTTCGCCTGGACAAGGAACATCACGAACCGCTCTGTCATGCCACGATGTGACCCTGTTTTCCGCTGCTCTTTGAGGGAGTAGTTGTCGAAACGAGCATGCGCTATCGCTGTTTAAAAGCCACTACCGGTCAAGCGAAGTGAGCTGCTTGGTAGCGTGTTGATCAACAAACTGTTATCGGCACAGAGCGCAGAGTAAAGTGGTAGGCCAGGGGGCAAGACACGGCAAACCTTACTATAGGGTGTTTGAAAAAAAAACTTGGTAAAAGCCATCATAAGCTGAGGCTATATTGCTTAAGTCTCTTTGTCATTTAAGATTGAGGTCCTGTGTTTTCTTTCCTCCCTTAGGTAGGATGGATGTGAGACACGGCATGAACGAAAATATTCATCTTTGGTGAAGCCACCTGGATGAATATGTACACTTGATGCCGGTCGATGCTTTCCCGTCCTCACGATTTCTCATTGATTGGATGGATCGGATTGATCAAGTGCTTAGACCTGGAGATTAACCGTTAAGGTGTGTTTGACGAGCCAATCGCGTCGTAGGTTCCAGGACATCATTATTGGAGTCGGCAGCCCATTGTCAATTATTAGGTACTTGAGCAGGTCTCAGAATACATTATCTTTCTTAAAACTTCCCAATAGGTTCTACATCATGTTCTTCGCCCAGGTGATAAGAAAATAGGTCTTCCAAGCGAAGGGAGATACAGACGAGATAGGTAGGTTAGTAGCTTAGGATTTGTTTATGCTACAACATAGCTACCCTAAATACTCTTTTACAGACATCGGTATTTTTAACTTCATCTGCCACTCCGTTAGGCACTTGACACTCGTATCGAGACAAGACCCCTCAGCAAATATTTAGAAGGCATTGTAAAAGAAAATACGTGATATCTGCATAGGTAGGCATCATATAGGCGCAGATCAACCCAAGCTACGCCGTCTACCACTGCCGAATTGGTAGGATGGGCCGAGGCATATGCGGGACTAGTTTACACGCATTATTAATACACAATTAACCATTCCCAGATGTTCAGTCCAAGAATAACCACTCACATCATTAGGCATCCATCATGACGCTCAAGGAAACAAAAAAACTCTTCATCGCCGTCAAAGTGGGAAAAGTCGAGCTTCAGCACCGAGTGGTGCTTGCTCCTTTGACACGACGACGTGCAGATGAGACTACAGCAGTCCCGGCGCCCTATGCTGCAAAATACTATGCTCAAAGAGCATCTTCTGGCGGTCTACTCATCTCTGAAGGCACCTTCATCGCTCAAGAGGCCGGTGGGATGTCGCGTGTACCGGGTATCTACTCTCAAGAGCAGATAGCAGCATGGAAGACGATAACGGCTGCTGTACATGCCAAAGGAGGCTTTATTTTCTGTCAGCTCTGGGCCCTGGGGTAATCACATCAATACGCAACATGTGTGTATCGAGACTGGATACTAATTGTGACCTGCAGCCGAGTTGCGAACCCGAAGATTGTTCCTCATGTCTGGAGCGCCGGTTCTGTGCCTTTCGATGCGAAGGGTACTGGGTCGGCTGAGCCGCCCGCTAAGTTTACAGTGATGACTGAATCTGATATCGATAGATTCGTGGGACATTACCAACAAGCTGCTCTCAATGCCATCGAGGCAGGTTTTGACGGAGTTGAAATTCATGGAGCAAATGGATATGTGAGTCTCGAAAGCTCAAAGCGATGTTCGCGCAGCTAACTTTCCCTATAGCTTATTGACCAATTTGTGAGTTAAGTGCTCTCTCCCAAAACCCTCCACTAAAATGTTTATAGCTGCAAACCAACAGTAATAACCGCACGGATTCGTATGGAGGTACACTCGAAAACCGTTTCCGCTTTCCATTGAAAGTCCTCAATGCTGTCTGCGAGGCCATCGGCCCTGATCGCGTTGGAATTCGCATGAGCCCCTTTTCGAGATTCCAAGGCATGCGTGAGACTGATCCTTTGGCTGTCTTCGCCCCCTGGGCTGAAGCCATCATCAAAGCCCAGCCATCTCTGGCATTCATCCATGCAGTTGAACCTAGGATCGCAGGAGGAAGTGATTCTCCTGACAAAATCTTGGAAGAGAACGAAAATCTCGCTCCCATTCGAAAAATCGTTGGCAGTTCAGAGATTAAGTTCATTGTTGCAGGAGGCTATACACCAGAAACTGCGGTTATGCATGCAGCTCAGACCGATGACCTTGTAGCTTTTGGACGCTTCTTTATTCGTAAGTTATGTGATCAAATTTCCCCCAAAAAATGTACTGAACTAGCAACAGCAAATCCCGATCTACCAGCCCGAATTCAGAATGGCTGGCCGCTGACGAAGTATGATCGTTCGCTATTCTACACGCCGGATGAACACGGCTACACCGAGTAAGTTTGAGTTCTCGCTGACTGAATTTACTGACCATACCGTGTAGCTATCCTGCTTACAAGCCGGATGCATCAAGACTTTGACGCGGGATGGTGGAAATCCGCCAGGGCGGTTAACGTTGCTGGGCTCCAAAACTGAGCACAAAATAAACCTGGAATATGATTAGAGTCTTAGAAGAGCATGTAACTGTGAGTTGATTACGCACAAGTGTACCTCGATCAAATTGCTTGGCTAGCTTAGATGCAATTATCATGATTTAGTTGCTGGGTTTGCTGCACATCAGATGCCTGTTCTGGCTCCTTTTTGCCAGTGGCGCTGGCCTTGCTTGAATTGAGGATTTCAGAAACGTGATGTCCCAATTGTGTACGCGGAATGGGCGTTCGCTTGAAAGGTCTATTCGCATACTCCGTTAGAATTTCTTTATTGCGTTGTATCACAAGGCACATTGGATTCATGGACATCCAAAACATCCAAGAGTAAAGCGCCTGCAGGAAAGGGGAAATAACTTACAGAATCATACCACGCTCGCTGTCGAGTTGCTGTTCATCTACAGGCAGAAACTCGACGAGAACGTCGGTGCTTTGACAAGATGTCGATCCAGTTCTTGCCATCGCTGCTCCTCTATCAGCAATGACATTGCCAATGACTTTGCCTCGTGGGACCCAGTGCAATTCGACCACGACTCCAGCTTTTGAGAGCTCATCTATCATGACGGATACTTTCTCTGTTATTCGTTTTTGTATCCCCTTTTTCGTGTAAGGATTGTTGCCCTGTGCATTTCCGTGAGGTCCAGTGGTAACCATGAGTCTATTCATCACCCTTAGGAGACTCAAGGCGGATTGACTGTCAGTGAAAACTTCGACAGATCGTAAAGGATCAACGTTTTCATTCTGCATTTTGGTGACTTGTACCGCATAATCCAGCGCAAGACAAATAGCCTCAAGTTCTGCAACTTCCGTAGCAGTGGCGTGCCCTTTTTCGGTGACGCGCACCCAGTAGGAGCCAGCTAGAAATGCCACTGCAAAGCCTGTAGAGGCCCTTTTTCTCGAAGCATCGGCCCAGATAATCAACCGCGAGCCATCGCAGGACACCCCTGTGACGCTTTGAGCTCTCATCACAGCCACCTCAGCAGGTTTGACGAAAATACTGGTTAACGGCCCAAGCTGATGGCACGAGCTGCTAATCTTGGGCCCCTTCTTTTTTGGCCTTGTGATCCCTTTCTTGCGTACCAGTACCTGTGTAGTAGTCGCAGGTGTCGCAATCCTGGATGGCGGCTCCTCATTCCATGCCTCGCACGCAGCAAGCCATGATCTCTTTGACCTATCGAGGAGGCCCTGGACCTTTCCATAAAGATTCAAGACGGTGTCTGGGACGTAGGGCATGCTGTTTGCCTGAAGGAAGCGGCAGCGCGATGAGTGATGGCGATGATGGAAGGAAAATGCAAGATGAAAGGATAAACAACAAATGGAAGTACAGGTGGAGAAGAGAGGAGAAGGTAAGGATGAGGCAGTGCCTAACAGCCTCTGAATCAGAGAGGCAGTGTGCGGGACCGTTTGAAGTTATTAGCAGGTGCCTCTCAGTGATAGGAAAGTGATAAAAAAAAGTCAACTACCTTAAGCGCCACCCTCTGAGAGCCTGCAGACTGGAAGCTACGCCACGAGAGTAAAATGAAGAGGGATGGGAGTCAAGGCCAAAGATATTGGAAGAGATGAGAATTGGAAGCGTGGGCGAGTTGTAGCCATGGAATCAAATGCTGGAGTGGGAAAGAACTGAATGCGATAAAAGCCCATTTAGTTCCCCTGCTAATGTACAGTACCTAGAAGTCGAGTTAAACAGAATGGTGGAAGACATCGTTCCCATATATACTAAGTAAATAGACATGAGATTTATTATTGCCAGAATACCCTACTAACCTTAAGTCTCTGCGCATAGCACGGCGTATACAAACAGGGATACAATCTAAGTTGGTAGGCCAAGCTGCCAGGAGAGCGAGCACAACCCGAGAGTTGGAGCTTCAAGAGTTGAGTTAAGAAAGCGAGAGGAAGGCTAAGAGAAGAAATAGCTAATCTCATTCTCCTCAACGCCCTGGCCTCCTAATCGAAGTATCTTGAGAACGCAAGTCATCATGTTACAAGGAATAATCCCACGATGGGAAGACAGCGGAGAATGCGAGACCTGCTGCATGCACATGCAACCACAAGATTACATTCAAGCTCTGCTTCAAGGTCTGTTAGTCCATCAGACATAAATCGGATTCCTCCTTTTGTGATTCATCTCGTTATCCAACCCATCAAACAATAGTTCGTCAATGGTCCTTTTTAGTCACCACGTTCTATTCTAGGACGCTGGCCGTGAACCTGATCACCTAAACCCTTCCATATCGAGCCATTTCTCATCTCAAAAAGCATGTTCGTTGGTGTTCATCGCCAAGCCTCAGCCCGGTTCGACAGATACAGTACGTCTCATCACTGATGAAGCTTGTATGGATCTTTTTAATGATGCAACTGGAGTTCAATGAACAAAGCCAAATTCACCGCGAGAATACACGCAGTATCCCATATTGCGCGGCTCAAACAATCCTTATGAAAGCTGAAGCTTTGAGGAGAGTGGTGTTTTGTCCAAAGATGCACTCAAATTTATATACCTCCTGATCTCTTCCTTTTTAAAGACCGGAAGGGCTTTGTTTACGAAAGAAGTGATTGGTCACCATGGAAGCTGCTGCGTGAGGACTTATCCTGTGAAAAAAAGACATCGTGTTCCTCCATATTAGCTGCCTAAAGCTTAACCTTATGGTCATCAAGTTTATCCGTAGCTGATGGTTGAGGAGAGGAAGTTGGGTAACAATTTCAGACCCTCGTTTTTTATTTCAATCCTGCTGCTGTCTATGGTACAGAACTGAACCGTGGGACTCGTAGGATACCTAACTAAACACGAAGGTAGGTCAAGGTTAGTAGTTTGATCTGAGGCTCCCATGATCGCCGCCGCTGACCATCATGGCTTCAGGACTTAGCCTTCGCGGATGCAGTAGAGACGAGGAACAGATGGCTCAATTTTTGCAGCACATGAATCCCTGTAGGGAGCGGATGATTGTAAAACTTGGCATCTCATCATGAATTGATGGCAGTATCTACCTGTAACACACTTCTCGCTTTGCTTCTTAATATCATTCAGGGGTTTCGTCAGTGTTACCAAATTACTAGATTCCTTTACCAACAATAGCTGATCTCGCTGGCCCTTCAGCTGGAAGTCGAACTCGGGGATGGGGGCGATAGGGCTGAAGCAGGGGCTCGGGTATCATACAAAAAGCTTGGCGCGGTTGGCTTCGGACGATGAAACCCTATTGTCGTATTGCCATCAGATAAGGTTGAGATCCATTCACATGCTGAGAATAGATGAATATGAGTTGATGGAACATGACAAGCTTCCGGAGCTCGGAATGACCATTGCATATCTCCAGTTCCATCCATGCACCACCCTTTGGCGGACGGTGTTAATATTACAAAACCCGATCAATGATCTAGAGGGGCCTCGAGCTCTCCAGAGTCTCACCAATCAGAGTATCCAAATCCCACACTCGCTCTAGTGTGAAATATTTCTTAGATTCAGCCTTAAGTCTGAGTTCACCAATCATATCCTTTTCGCTCCTCTCGCGCTCAAGTCAACCTCCGACATGCCGTCTTAAACATTGCCCAAAGAGGAAACGGGGCGACTTAGATCTGCCGCTCTATCTGCTGATTCGGGATGCCGATGACCGATACCGAGTGTTTGGTTTGGCGTTGCTAAAGAATGAGCATTCCCAAAGGGGTATGTATATAGACGACATCCTCCCGTTTGTAGGGTGATTTGTTTTCAACTTGATCAGGATGCCCTTGCATTTATCATCTTGAGCTTTCGTTTTAATAACAGTCACACTTTCGACTTGTTCAACACCTGCTGCTCTTATGCATAAGTCATCGACATAAACGCAAACGTAGCATTTCCTCTCTTCAACAAGATGTCCTCGCAGCCCTCAGGCGAGATGCCTTCCCAGGGTCCTCCCTATCTCCCCAAGACAGCTGGTCTCGGCGGCAGACCTACGCCCAGCGTCGACGATCCCATCTGTGCTGTTATTTTGGCTTTCTTCGTCGGCGGTGCCATCCTCAACATGACTATCTTTCAGCTGAACAAAAAGCGATCCCACAAATTCGTCCTCAGCGGTTTACTGTTCGGCTTTTGCATGGCCCGTATCACCGCCAACGTGTTGAGAATCGCATGGGCTTCGAACCCGCATGACACCAGTCTTGCTATCGCTGCCCAAGTGTTTGCAAACGCTGGTGTTGTGCTCTTGTTCGTTGTGAATCTGATCTTCGCCCAGCGCATCTTGAGGGCGTATCATCCACAAATTGGATGGAGCAAACTTGCTTCGCTGGGGTTCAAGTTTTTGTACTTCAGCATCCTTGCAAGTCTTGTGATGCTAATTACAGCTGTGGTGTATAACTTCTACACCTTGAACCCACATACGAAGCAGCAACTTCGCGACGTTCAACTCACCGGCAGCACGTTTCTCGCCATTCTCGCGTTTCTGCCATTGCCCATTGTCGGAGCTTGCTTCATTATCCCCCGACGAGCACCAATGGACAAATTCGGACAGGGCCGTATGCGGACAAAAATCCAGCTTCTTATCTTCACAACTACACTGCTTTCCCTCGGTGCTGCTTTTAGAACTGGCGTATCCTTCAAGCTGCGGCCCGCGAACGATCCAGCTTGGTATCACAGCAAAGCATGTTACTACTGCTTCAACTACGTCATCGAGATCATCGTCATCTTCTCCTACGCTCTCTCGCGATTCGATCGACGTTTCCACATCCCCGACGGTAGCCATGCCCCTGGTGATTACTCTGGTCGCAATACAAAGACCCAAGATCGTATGTACCGTGTTAATACTGAAGAGGAAGTTTTTGGCGATGACGAGCGACCACGAACAGCGGAGCAGCGCCAACAGCAGCAGCAAAACTGGGAGGCAGGTCTAAAGGAGGAGCTCAAGGAAGAGACCGTTTGATGTCAAAAATCGTGTTACACGACTGTACTATTTGTAATATAGCCAACTGTGGGTGTACAAAGAATGGATCTGGATTCTGTGCGACCCTTTCCGCCCTCAATTCAAGCTCTTCTGTACAGGACATTATAGAGAAGGGGGGATGCGCCGCAAGGTTTAGAAAGTCCAATATATCCTTGAACATCGTGACTGGTCCTGGGCTGGAGTGTGATGTAATGCTCAGGTCAACTTTGTTAGAGATTAGTCTAGATATATTAATGGTTGAGGCAGTTCAACTTGTGGAAATACTCAAGTCGGACCAATACTGAATCAATTCAACATATTAATAAAAAGCATCCAACTGATGGGCATCATCTGCTAACATCCATCACTTTGTTCAGGCGAGACCCCAGGAGGGGAGTATTGTTCACCAATGTTGTGAGGAAATCGGCTCTTTAATCGCTTCACTGCTCATATCATGAGGATAGACAGACAATTGTTGATCATGCATGCGTGTTTCTTTCTCTTACAGCGCGTAACTCAAATATGCGTATCTAAGCAGCCATGAGGTGGGCGCCGCAATCAAGTCTACCAACCCTTTCCTGCACGTACCTCCAAAGTTACGGTCGTTTTGCAACATTCGGAAGCTCTCCATAGCAAAGATGTGATATTCGTACAACCCATGCTACATGGAGTTCTGTTTTCGTTCGAGGGATTCGTCGTGGAATCTACACGGTCGAGCTGCAACGGACTTGAGGCTGGCGTGGATGCACCAGGCATGATGGCACTTCGACATTTGACTCGAGCTTGGTAAAACGTGGGTATACGTGACGAGATTAGAGGAAGTAGTCGGGAGTCCCTGGCCATAGTGTTAGTTGAGTCCTTGTAACCGCTTGTGGGTGATACTCACGCCTCGAGACCATAGGCTCGCCAGCTCTGGGGCATGGATCAAATTGCAAGCTGGTTGTGGTCAGTTCGTGTCTATCACATCGAGTGGATCGACTCACAAGGTGTACTTCAGGTGCTCATCAATCTCCATGATAGCAGCTTGGTTACCGCATCGGTAGCAGTAGTTGGGCGCTGTAGTGATGTTAATGCTGTACAGAAGTATGGCGTCCCGTGTGCTGAGCGTACCTGAGAAAATGGTGACAACATTTCGGTCTTGAGACCAGTTGTAACCCTCCATAACAAGCTGATGGGCGCGAGCAATCAAGGTCAAGCCATTGTTGTGGTTGAAAGCTTCTGAAATGTCCTGTCCGAATGTGTACCCCGCACCTCGAGGAGAGATTCCCCAGCCGCATCGGTCGTCAGGGTCTGACCAGAGAAGATCACACATGGGACCCTCGTGAGGAACCTCTTGAATACGATCAAGGGCTCGGATGTTATCCAGAGTATCAATGCTTGGGGAGAGGCCGCCATGAAGACAGAAGATTTGGTTGTCGATCAGGGCAGTGAGGGGGAGGTAGTCAAAGAGGTCGGTAAAATACTTCCAGACATTAGCGTTTCCATATTTACGGAGGCATTCGTCGTAGAAACCGTAGACCTGGGTGATCTGACGGGACTCGTGGTTTCCTCGGAGGATTGTGATTCGTTGAGGGTATCGGATCTTGAGGGCGACAAGAAGGGTGACTGTCTCAACAGAGTAGTAGCCTCGGTCAACGTAGTCACCTATCGAGAGTAAGTATCGACTTCGTGAGGCTGAAAGATGATTGAAGCGTACCCATGAATAGGTAGTTGGTATCAGGGTTAGGACCGCCAATCTTGAAGAGCTCCATCAAGTCGTGGAATTGACCGTGGATATCACCACAGACGGTAACAGGACATTTCTGGCGAGAAAGAATCAGCTCAAGCACTTAGTTTGCCGGCGCATGTTATAAACGTACCACTGGCTGCACGTTCGATTCCTCCTGTAAAACTTCTCGTGCCTACATGGCAGATTAGCATTTGTTTGCATCACGCGAGAAGCCGAGTTAGTCGAGTATGATGCACGCTCATTCTGATCGCGACTTGATCATCGAATGCACCATATATCAGACCAGGCTCTACATCCCGCTGAGTTGACAGCTTCCTCACCTTATCGCACAGTCTCTGAACATCAGCTTCGGCTAGCTGCTTGCAAGACATCAAGCTCTCGATCCAACCGTCGAGGGTGGGGATCGTAGTAGGCTCGAAGTTGAGCACGGGTGAAGCTTCAGCGGGCGCTCGCCCAACATCCTCCATATTAGTATCCATGGCTCAGCGGTGTCGAGTCGGTTGTTGATGTGTTGATTAGCGGGAGTGAGGTTGAAATGACGTTGATGCGGTCTGAATCGCGAGAAGTCGGGTGGGGCACGCCGCACGAGGCACAAAGGCGGCGGTCGTCAGGGGAGGAGAAAAGGGAAACAAGGGAGATGAGATAATCAGCAGCTGCCGATACCAGCAGCAGCAGTTCCTGTCCCTAAATCGTTCTATCGCCGTAAAAAAGGGGTATGCGGAAAAAGGCGCAGGATGGCGAGGACGCGCAAAGCTCGTTAGTGAAAGAATTTTTGGTGGGCGTTGTTAGGTGATGGATGATGATGGGGAGCGAAAGGAGGAGGGAGGGATGGATGATGTTGGTGGTTGCCAACCAGCCCAGCTGGCCAGTGTTTGCCCCTTCCACTGCTAGCCTTGGCTTTGCATACCGTACCATAGGTAGCGCCTCATGTGGCGTAATGTAATCTCTATACCAGGATTTCAACAGAGAATTCTACAGGACGATCGAATGAAAAGAGGTCATCGCGATCTTATAATCATTCTACTTCCATTTCTGAATGCGACGCTTCAGCACTGAACCGCGGTGGTCATAAAGTCAAGGTACCTTGGCTGCAGCCCAAAGCTTGTCTGACGACGGGTGTGGCTTGACGGCTCGCTCCAAAAACAGCTCCATCAACATCACTTGGGCCACATCTGATCATAACCAGCTTCATTTATTCGATAATTGCTACAATGGCCCTCCAATTCCAGCCTGGGTATTGCCATACGAGAAATACGTGACGCTGATAAGGTAGCCAAAGGGTTACTAACGCCAACCAATCCATCCACCTCAACTAACACCTAAATCTCTTGTTCATGACAACCCCAGTCCGACAGAAGCCTCTTTTTCCAGTCGCTCATAGTTCAACAAGTTCTTTCCGACCAAGTTCTCAAAGTCAAGGCCGACTTCCGATAACAGCTTAGAATGTTCCTTTGCCCTCTCCATGCACTGAGTCCAAACCTGCCCCCCAGGCTCCGTACTACTAAGTTGACGTGCCAGGATGACGTTGAACGCATCTACTTCCTCCTTGGCCCATTTGACACATACACTCATCATGGGCGGTGGAAAGCAAGATTGGAAACACTGCACCGTGTTATGGATAACCATAAAGTACACAAACGAGAGCTCCCAGATATATAGATGCAAATCCCCCTGGAAAATGCATTGTCTGATAACACGTTAGCTTGCCGTGTCATATAATTCACACCATTACTCACCTGGCTCGTTTATGTATAGTGCCACTTCTCGCCGCCAGGTACGATTCTCGGGCGCTATCTTCAAACCCAAGTCTCGTCAACCAGCTGACATTCCGCCTTGTCTTTGTATTGTTATCGTGCGTCAGTTCGAGCTCACGAACAATCATGTCCGCCAATTTAGCACATCGTTCGCCAACCTTGAAGTTGATAAAGTCCTGAGCAATGGCATGGTTCTTCAGCCCACGAGCGATCGCTTTGAGTTTCTCGACACGAGCGACAGCGTCTTCGAATCGTTGCATCGCAATGTCAATGTCAAGGTCATCCATCTCGCTCTCAACCCAGCGCAAGTTCTGCTGTTTGCCGTCAACTTCAATGAGCATATCCTTGATGTCCGACAGCGTGGCTAGAAGCTCTGTCTTTTGAAGAAGACCTGGATCGCGAGAGGCGAAGTAGTTGATCGTTTCACGAGCCTTGTTGTTAGCCTCCATCTCCGATCGAAGGCCCTTGCGAAGCTGTTCTATAGCCTTGCGCACGTTGAGGAGTAGTTGCTTCTTCTCGGGGTCCTGGGGTTTCTCCGTCCGATAGATGAAAGATTCCTGACCAACACCCCGGACCATGATAGCATCTGCAAGCTTATTGCGTCCACTACTCGAAGATTCCCCGGTGCTTGACATGTCCACCACTTCAACATCTAATAGTGGCCAACAACGGTCAGCCACCAGCTTCATCATCGGCCCTCGTGCGTCTGAACCCGGCGCATCTGCTTTTCGCTTCTTACGCGATGCGATGAGGAGGTGATCATTAAGCAGAAAGATCTGCATTGCTCGGCGCGACTTGTATGTAGCATTATCAAGCTCAATCCAAGGCCCTGCGTCTTGGACAACATGACGTCCCGCCGCATTAGGAAGGAACTTTTGCGACCCTTCTACGCCCTTGAATAAGGCTTGCATCTGTGAGTTCCACATGGCGCTTCTATCGGCAATAGAGGTGCGCCTATCTCTTCTGCTGCTGATACCAGGGGCGCTTACGAGATCCCCCGGCATTGACTCATCATTCTTGGCAGCGGCAGCTCTCATAGCTGTCGTGTTGACTTTGAGCTCTGACATGAAGTTCTTGAGATTCCTCATCTCGCTCTTTAGCTTTTCCGCTTCCTTGCTGATTTTGATAAACTGTGTCCTGTTCTGCATAACGCTCTGTTGGAGATCCATTCCCACACGCGTCTTGACTTTTCGTAACGAATCCTCGAATTCGCGGATTTGGTCTTCGGTTGCATCGCTCAAGGCAGCCTGGACGTATCGGTCTGGCTTCAACTTCGGATCTCGTAGACCCTTAATATCGACAACTGGAGCAACTCCAGGCCCCGCACGCGAGGGAGGTTTTCTGATGGCGGCAGCAGTCGGAGGCTCGTAATTGCCAAGCGAGGGCATCTGCGGCATTGGAGGCGCGGCGCCATTTGGACCTGAGGGCGGTTGATTAAATCGAGTCGAGTATCGTCGTTTCACAAGATCCGAGGTCTATTAGACGATGTGAGCATAGCGATACTGGAGACAGCCTCAACGAGACTTACCTTTCCACCAGCCATCGGGGGTGGACGCGGGCGAGGTCGAGCTTGGCCAGGGTCGCCTGGAGGAGGCGGTCTGTTTGTATCATCTTGAGCAATCGGACCTGAAATCTGGCGAGGAGCACTGATAGTTGGCCTCTTCTTTCTCTTGCCGCTGCGGAGGGATATCTTATTGCGATCCTCCATCTTGGGCAAGTGTTGTAAGAACAATGGCGACTCGACAGCTTCGAGCTTGATAAGTAAAAGACGGTATCAAGCTGGAATAGCAGAAAATGGGAGTGGTGTCTTGATTGAGTTCTAAAATGCTTGTCTGGCTGTTGGCGCCAGACGATAGGTGGTCTAATCCATGAGCTGTAGGTGTAATCGTCAGGCCTATTCAGTGAAGCAGCTACCTTCGGAATGGAAGTCCAGTGTATCAGGAGGTGGGGTACGTACCGAACAAGCCAGCCTCAGCCGGTTACGTGGGTTTCATTGACAGCATCGATGAGACAGGCCTTGTCCAAAATACTCTATAGTGTATAGTTTTCTCATAACCAAACTTGGAGGAAAGAAATGCTTCTATATGTAGCAAAGAAGCTATCGGAATGAGTGCCTTTACTTGATTACTCTCACAATCACCTCCCGTTGTTAAAGATCCAGCTTTCTGCCCAGCTTCCATCGAACCTCGGACCTAAATAGGCTTAGCGCCACATCATGTGCTTGCTCCGGTTCTAAAAAATTGGTTTATCGCGACGACTAAAGCTTGCCGCTCCCGACGCTCAAACAGAGAATAAACCCGACCTCGAGCATTGACGACATAATATCTTCCGTCTCTTGGTCGCCGACGTCGCCAAGCAACATTTCGAGCCCCGGACTTACTCGTTGTAATTGATACCGTGGGAATATATCCGGTCTTCTGCTTATTACGATCCAAGCTATAAACCTCCTCACCTACATCATCAATCTCCAAAATGGTGCAGCCCACCACTCTCGTAACGGCATCCGTTGCTACCGCCGCCGCCGCCGTTGTCGGTAAGACTGCGACATTCATTCTGCTTCATGAACTTGCGTTATACAATACAGTCAATCAGTAGCAGAACATCGAAGCTACGGTGCACAATGGCTAACGGAAATGCCCTCTGATCAGGTTACGCCATCTACTTTGACTACCAACGTCGAAACCAGGCCGAGTTCCGCCGAAACTTGAGGAGGAACGAGCGCAAGCAGGCCCGCGTCGCAAAGGAGGAGGCAGAGGCTTCTACCCAGCAACAACGTCAGAGCATTCGCATCAGAGTGGAGGAGGCCAAGGAGGAGGGGTTTCCTACTGGTGTTGAGGAGCGGGAAGCCTTCTTCAACGAGCAGGTCATGGCCGGAGAGATGCTCAGCCAAGATCGTAGGAAATACCCTGGTCTAGACATCACCGATAACTTGCTGACTGTTGTTCTGCAGCTTCTAAGGCTCTTGAGTCTGCTTTGGCCTTCTACAAAGGTCTCAAGGTCTACCCTGCCCCCGGTGATCTGATCCGAATTTATGACAGCACTGTTCCCAAGGTACGATGGCGAGCACGAACCTCGAAGTTAAGTTGTTTCGCTAACAGCTGTGCAGCCTATATTAGACATCTTGGCTGAGATGATCGCATACGACTCATCTCTCGACATCCGATCGCCCGCCGCTCCCGCAGGCATCAATCTCTCTGACATTCCTAACGTTGGTCTCGATTAAAGAGGGATATCATCTGTCCGAATTTCCTCTCCGCTCCTGGCCCATATATACCCAGACGTTGGAAATGTTCTTGAATTTTAACACCCTTTCCCCTAAATCTGTACTTTGAAAAGTCTGAACAACAGGCTTTCACAAAGAAATATCTAATGGAGACCTGACGGCCTTCAATGTACCATAGTTCCGCTCTTCCAGCTTCTATAGAGCTTTGTGTAAACAAATGTACGTTGAAACGAATAGGTTTATGAACAATTGCTGGCTATTTCAGAAGCACACTGCCTCATGAGGATTCCAACTATTGTGGAAAGGAAGTCACAGGATTTTCCAAGATACGTGCATCATCCAAGGCCGTCTGTGATGAACAAGTTCGATTCATGCTTTTTTGTGGCCTGTGACGTAATATACAACATGCTCGATTAGAGGAACCTAGTGACTAAGTAGTAGCTATGGTATTCTGTTTGCCGGATTACAAGTAGAATGGTCAAAAGATTGAAGACATTATACTAACATGCGGCTATGGAATGTCACCCACGGCATCGACCTGTGGTAGAAGATGAGTGCAAGAGATGTGGCAGATGAATTGCTTAATTATCTTTATTTTTCTTTCCTCCACTATAGGCTATTAAGCCTCAATCTTCCGCCCCTTCCTATCTACTCTTTCATCCTCAGGGTTAAACCCACCGTTACCCCAGTTTGCCCATTCTGGAGTTGGAGTTGCGTCCATATAATCCTCGGGGGTCCAGCCACCTTCATCAGGAGGTCCCCTGGATTCGAGCAACTCAAAGAACTTCTTGTAATCGATCAAAGTATGCCACTTGCCATCGACGTAGAACCTCTCGCTAGCCAATAAGATACAGCAGCTGTGGGCGTGCTCGGCAGCGATGCCGTACTTGAGTCCCTTTTCCTTCAACCGCTTCTCGAGCGCCTTAACAAAGTCGCAGACTTCCCAGTAAAAGGGAACATTGGACATGCTCAATCCGGCATTGGAAGATGTTGATGTGCCACAGTATGTGACACCCTTGACCTCAACAAAACAGGGCAGACCTTGCTCCACGAGTCTTGCGTAACCCTCAGCTTCTTCCTCGACGTTGAACCCCTTGACGAGTGTCAAACGGAAGACAGTACGATGGTGGAAGCGCTTCTCGCGAAGGATATCTAGACATCGGTTGAATCGCTCCCAGAAGTCTCGGTGGAGAGGTCTGTCAATCTTCCGTAGTGACTCCTTATCAGCTGCATCGATTGATACGTAGAGTTGAGTCACAACCTTGAGAGCAGCCAACTGGTCAGGATGCTGAGCATTACAAACGAGGAACGAGGAGATACGTTCAGCGTGCAGCATACCAAGGAATTCGTTGATATAGGGGTAAAAGATTGGCTCTCCGACGAGTGACAAGGCGCAGTGCTTGATCTGCATAGCTTCGGCAAATCTCTCCGCTCGCACACCAGGCACACCGCGCAACATCTTGATTTTCTGGTAGTGGTTCTTTTTGACTCCTTCAAAGATCAATTCAGGAGGATCAACAACCCAACGCCATGTTGTTCCAACTGGATTTGTGCCGTGACGCCAACAAAAAACGCATTTATTCGAGCAAGAAAGTGAAGGGGTCGTTTCCATGCACAAGTGGCTCTTGATTCCGTAGAAAGAGTACTTATAACATGAGCCTCTTCCGCGGAGAGCTGATTTTGTCCACCGGCATGTCTTGACTCCGGAATGAGATCCCACGATTGCGTAACCTTGTTTAGTGAGAGCTTTGTATGTTGGTGATTCCTTTGCGACCATTTCTTTTGGACCTTGAGGGACTGCCTTCTTTGTAGAGGAGCCATAAGTGGTGAAATCAACAGCGAGAGGTGCTTTTTGAGTTGTCGAACCGTCGTCCTTTTTGATCATGCGTCCCAGGTCCTCAACATCATCTAGATCTCTTGCGCTCTTCGACTTTTTCTTGGGTTCTTCGTCATCAAAGACAACTTCGCCATCATCTTCGTCCTCTGCGATATCTTCAACATCGCTTTCCTCGGCTGCTCCGCTACCGGGAACTCCTTCGCCTAAGCTTCCGGTACGTGCGACATGCTCAATGACCTCTTGCACGCCTTTACTCCATTCTTGTAGGCGCTCTTCGTGATCACCTTTCATGTCACCCATTCCAACTGGGTAGGCTCTCTTTCTAGCAGTAAGCTTAGCCATCCACTTGTCGACTTCCATAGCCTGAAAACAGAAACCGTCTGCCTCTGTAGGCCAGTTTTCACTGTCGCCAAAACCGAAAACCGAATAACCTAGGATACCTGACAGAGGAGCAGTATCTACTCGGAAGTCATGATGGGTTTCTTGGAGGTGCTCAAGGAATGTGTCGTTGATGGTATCGATGTTGTAGCTAGGAATTAGGAACAGGTAGAAGAGATCGGCGTCGCCGTGACCCTTGTATGGCGCAAGGAAATAATCATCGAAGTCTATCTCAGTGAGGTCTCGAAGTTCAGGTTTGAGGAATTGGCGGCCCGATAGCTTGGACAATTCATCCAGCTTTCCACAGAAATCCTCAATGTATGCCTCGGCAATCTTAGCTGTTTTGGTCGTAATGGAGGAGAAAAAGACCAGAGGTGCGACAGGTCGGGTGATATCCTTCTCCTCTTCCTTGGTCTTCGATGGCTTCCTCGCTATTCCACCCTTGATCCTTCGAGGGCCCTGAGACTTGACACTCTTTTTCTCTTCGACTGGCTCGATGGTGGGGGTCTTTTCTTCGATGACAACCTTGGGCTTGGCGGGCTCTTCGTAAACCTTCTTGAACGCAACTATTTCCGTTTTTTGACCATTGATGTGAAAGTATGTTCGAATTGCGACAAGGATAACACAGAGAGTCAGGAGAATTGGAGTTCGGTGAAGATGCCAGACATCAACCAGATCTGTAAGAGTCAGCGGCAAGATTTGCGACCATGGGAAAGCGACGAGACTCACCATCGACAAAGGAGTCGAGCCGCGAAGGCGACGAGTAATTTGCCCAATCCATTGTGATAACCTGCCAACTGCCCGACTATCCCTTGGAATTTGCGACGGGAATAGTTTGGGAAGAGCAAGCACACACAAATAATTGAAGAGACATCTGGGGAAAAGTAATGGATGGTGCCCCGCCCTCTGGAGTCGAGAATTTTAGTGGAGCTTTGCGCTATCGTCACGCATCACCAATGGAGGGGCAGCGATTAGATAGCAGCTCATACTGTACGATCTGGAGCATAATGGCCTGGAGTATAATGGCCAGGACTATAACAATATGGTATAACTCGTTCTATATCTAATGGTGAAGGAATTCCGGGTAAGCAAGTCGTAAATTCATTCCCCTTAAGGACTGGAAATTATTTTAGTGTATATCCATAGGTATGAAACGTCGGTTGTTCATCAATTTATTGTACATAATCAAGCTGTTAGATCCAAGATAGATTAAAGTCACCTAGACTCTTCTGTCTGAGCCTGCAGCTTGAGACTTGTCACGAAGATCCTTCAAGCAAGGTGCGTGAAACATTTCGCCTGTGATAGCAAGCTTGGCGGTTCGAGTCGCTACCACAATCCACAACAATATCACAGAGAGGGCTATCATCTATCGTCATGTTAGTAACCGGTAAGTAAAAGCATGTTCAGTTCCTTACCGCCGTGGAAACCTTGAAGTATTCGCTATCAAGGTTTTCTGCCAATAAGTTTGAGCAGGTTGCCAATACACCAAGTGGGAAAGTAAATCCCCAGAAACCAATACTGAACGACGGGGGTTTTGTAGCAATGCTGATGAGGGCGAAAGCCAGCCAGACCAGAGCAAAACCGTACATGATGAGGGCGAGGAATACTCCAAGGACATAGAGTATCTCACCAGCTCGAACCGCAACATCACCAAACGCATTGGTCTTGGGAAGCACCTGCATAGCAACTTTGCCGAGTTGCTGAATGCCGAAAGCTCCTTGACCGAGCGGTCCTATGGGGAGAAAAGACGAGGTTATCACCTCCTTCGGAGGAAGTGAGTGAATGGTCAGCCGATGGAAGTATAACGCTAAAACACAGGCCGAGAACAACTCGCCGATGCCCCAGAGTACATACGAGGCCACCAGAGTTGTAAGCGCATGGTGATGATTGGGAAGAGCCTCTGCGACGATTCCTCCAGTAGCAGCTGCAACCACTGCTGGTACGATGGGTAACAGGAGTGCAGCTGTTATGTTTTCGAGGCCAGGGCGATGGCGGTGCATGACGATGAAGGGCATCGTGATGCAAGTGGCAATGGAGAGCCAAACATCAACCCACCAGAATGCCCAAGCTAGATATATTACCCATTCTCCCCATGGCTGTAAGCAAAACACCATCATGTTGATGATAGCTATCAAAACGTCAGCACCCACTCAGCCTAAGGAATGTGTTACTCACTTGCAAAGGCCATGGGCATGCATCCTAGGAACAAACTCTGGCCAGCATGGGCGAGCATCGCCGACCAAATCTCTGGATACAACACATAACGTGCAATGCTTATACCAAGGAAGACAATAAACAGAACAACATTAAGCACGAAGAAAATGTAAGAGATATACCGAAGCCATAGTGCCTGGTAAGGAAAGTTATGAAGCAATATGGCAACGATGCCTGTACCCATACAAACGGCGAACCATCTGTTGATGATATTAGTGGTCAACCCTGGTCAAAATAGATACATGACTTACGATGGTGTGAAATTGCGTACAAGCCTCCTCCAACCAGTATTCTCCTTGCACGGCAGAGTCGACTCGCAAGGCTTAGGAGTAGAGCCGCTACATACCGCGCCGTTCGGAGTTGAAGTGGTACAGTCAGACATATTGCCGGCTCTTGAGGATTCAAGGGTGTCTGATGTTACGTGAGCTGCTGATCGCTGGATGTGACGATGCAAAGCTAAAGTTTCCGGCTCACTGGCCAATCAGAGTGGAGGGAAGATCGCTAGAGCCGCTAATATGGCACAAATCTTGTGAACCCAATATGATGCTGATTGCAATTCAATGTTTTAGTCAGAAGGAAATAAATTTTGGCATGGGAATAAGCTGAGAAGGAAAACCGTTTCCCCTGCTTTTTAGACCTTGACGAGGCCGTTACAGCCGTTAATGGATTTGTTCATAGTCACCGAGAACCGCGAATTCCGCCCAGAAGAATCCCAAGCTGTCAATTTACTAACGTCAAATGGGTCCACTTGTGGCTCAAGTCGGCGATAGCGGGTGTCGCAATATGGCGAATTTGAGTCCCCGAAAAAACAAAGAGGTATTAGTTTACCTCCGTACACATAAACTGGCTGTTCGAGAAGCCCTCGTGAACCCTTCGCTCTCGTCTAATTGTGATTTCTATCGTCACATCTTCAGACTCGTAACAAATCACCTCTTTGTTATACAGACAAAGCGGTATCTAACTCGTATACCGCAAGGTACCCCAGGTACCTTGTTAGATCCTTGGGTGTTTGTTAGCGTTGTTGCATCCAACCAGAACCTTCAAATCAGTTCACAGGACCAGCGCTGCTGTGTCGTTCGCCGACTGAACCTGTCTGTGCCGCCCCAAAGTATGATGTCGGTTGCAATCTATGACCCACAGCAAGATGTCGGTGACACTATCTGCCGGCTTGTCAGTACCGGATCTGACCGATAAGAATAATGAAGGGGATGGCCATGCAGTGTTGACCCCGCCCCTTATTCGAGAGTCTTTGTTGTCATCTTCTCAGGTACCATATATTCAAGAGGTAGAACATCAATATCATCATAAACAACCAAGCATCATCGACAGCATAGCAATCATGGCCATCGGTATTTTCACCAAACCCTCTGCACTCGGCGTCAGCCACAGCACAATCCCCAACGTGGGCCCTTGCCAGCAAAATCGTTTCGACGAACTCGTGGTGCGACTCAAGGATGCCCTTGGTCCATCGTCGGGATTGACTTCTGATGAGGTTGATGTTGACTTCCTTCAACAACTGATGGAAGGATATGACGGCGCCGACAACATGTGGAAGCCCTATGCCTTTGGTGATCGCAGTAGGGGATACACCCGTAATCTTGTTGACGAAGGTAACGGCAAGAGTAATTTGGTAAGCTTCCTAGAGTCGACTTTGACCCTTCCCAACCGTGACTGACTTCTTGATAGCTTGTTCTCGTATGGTCTCCTGGAAAAGGGTCCCCTATCCACGACCACGGCAACGCCCACTGCTTGATGAAGATTCTGAAGGGCAACCTCACCGAGACTCGATACGCCTTTCCGAACGAGGATGAACAAGACAAACCAATGAGTATCATTGGGGAAAGAACATATAAGGAAAACTCCGTCGCATATATGGCAGACGAACTAGGTCTGCATCGTGTATCCAACAGGGGTAGCGACTTTGCTGTATCCCTCCACTGTAGGAAATCCCCTTCATCCACGACACTTGTCCCAGAAACTAACCTGCAACTTTGCAGTGTACACTCCTCCCAACGTAGCGAAAAAGGGATGTCATATCTTTGACGAGAAGACAGGACGGAAAAGCCATGTACCAGGTTGTCACTACTACTCGGCTTATGGGCGGCTGCTGAAGGAGTAGTTGACACAAGAAAGGACGTGATAGCCACGATTTGATGAGTCATGACCTTGTTGTAATTAGCGCCGCAAGTATTGAGAGTTCTCCTTTAATTCGGAATGGCCCCAGATTGTTTTTGATGGTAGATGATGGGAGTGGAGGTTGGACGGAAGGTCGATCTCAGTATAGCAAGTACTTCGATATTAGCATAAAATGAACCGATTTGATCAAATGAGACCCGCATTCTATACGAAGACGTGCGAAGAGTGAATAATGAGGTGAAGGAGGAGAATCGACTGACTGCTGCTCGTCGTCTTCTTCATCCCTCATCGCCGTTAAGCACGCAATCCAAGCTTTGCCCAAAATGGGAATGAGTGCAACGAGCACTGTTATACACTGTATTTGCAATCGACCGACCCGGCCGATAACCGTTGATGATGACAATAGAAATGAAGACAACATGGTAAAATAAATAAATATAGACTATAGAGAGTTAGGTTTAAATGCTATGGTAAATAGTAAAATGTTCTTGGTGTCTTGCTGAGAGAAAGAAGCAGTTTTGTCTATACCGATAACCGGATCTCAATCGTGATTCCATCGCGCAATATATCAGCAAATCCCGACTACCTGCAGATACCTGCTAGGGGAGGAAAAAGCTCAGGAGCTTGACCCTAAATGATAAAAAGATTTGGGTAACTTAGTATGAATTTAGTTGAAGTTTAAGATAGCCTTTATCAGGCTTATTTTGACGCCCTATATCAAGGCCTGAGGCATTGGCTTTCTTGCTCATTAGGATCAAGAACTCGGGTTACCTAGTTCGAATCGTCTCACGTTTCCGATGGCAGGCTGATTGTGTTAGTTGCTTGACCAATTACAATGTATGTTTGGTACACCAATTCTATTATAGCAGTTCCATAGAGGCTACCTATGCTTCCATTATCTAGTTGCTTTTGTTATCGGTAACCTGCTATTCGTCCGTTTGAGCTCGTAACTTCTGATGCCCTTCAGAGAGCTATGATATGCTCTGAGTCTACGGAACGTAGCGATGTTATACATTTATTATCGCAGAATCTGAATCAGATATTTGATTTGAGATGGAGTTGTCTATCATTCTCGCTGATATTTGTTGTAAGTTTCTTGCGGCGGAGGTAGAGCAATTGTGATCTCACTCTTTGGTATAGACCATCATGGCCTCAACCTGTCGCCGACTCGAGCGCCAATACATCAAATGGGAGCTGCCTAACTCGTCGTAATCATCGAACTTCCCCAGCATGCGATATTTCTCCATGGGGTTTTAAGCTTATCCAAAATCGCATCTCCACCCCTCATTCGTTTATGCGCAGCCTGTTCACTGGAGCGCTTCAACAACTGAGTTACATGGGTTATGAGCCGGGACCGAAAGATCGACACTGGGAACAATAGCTTCCCGTCCTCTATCCGAGGCATAATCGGAGCGGAGACTATGATTTGTACGGATCGATCGAATACGCGGGTGTTCTGCATGAGGTTAGTTATCTGATTGATCGTAGCCATCGGTACTCGTGCAGGGGGCCTTTGAGATGCGGAGGCTCGTTCCTGCTACGCATGAACAAATTATATAAAGACAGTTACATAGCCCATATACTGATGTTACGGACAACAAGATACAAGACCTGTCCTGACTTACAACAGGTCGTGCATGTTGAGCCTGAACCCTAATCATTTTCACCTCAGGACAAGTTCAATATGCGTGTCATTACGCTCCTCGCAACGACGCTCTCAGCGTCTTCTTTTGTTAAAGCCATCCCTGCCGACAGCCCAAGATCCGCGAACAGCAACTATGTCGGCTATCTGATCTCTACCTTTAGTGACCCGACCCCTCAAGTTCAATGGCATCTGTCAGACGGCAACTCGGCATCGACCTTTGACTTCCTCAATGGGGGAAAGCCTGTCTTGACCTCAAATGTTGGAACCAGAGGCGTCAGGGACATCTTTCTCACGACCAATACTGCCCGCTCCGAGTTCTTTACTATCGCCACTGGTAGGTCACTGAAACATTGTCAGTAGGCACATTACTAACAGGCTATGCCAAAGATCTGGACATTAATGCTCCAGGCTTCTCGTGGGATCTTGTCACACGTAACGGAAGTCTGGGTCTTGTTGTTTGGTCTTCGAAGGACCTCGTGAATTGGTCCAAGCCTTCACTCAGAATGTAAGATACAAGATGCTTTGTTCAAATGTGAGATCTCACTAATTCTGAAAAGTGTAGAGTCAGACACAGCTGGTATGGCCTGGGCACCTTCTGCAGTCTGGGATGATTCTACAAACCAGTACTATGTCTTCTGGGCGGCCAGACACTATTCAGCTTCTGACACGGAGCATAAAGGCACCGCAACTCTCGACCGCATTCGCTATGCTACAACTAAAGATTTTAAGACTTTCAGCGCGCCGAAGGATTACCATGCCCCCGAGGGCACTGGCCTCATCGATCAAGAGTTTCAGTACCTAGGCAAACCGGGGCATTTCGCACGCTTTCTCAAGAACGAGACCATCAACAAAGTGTATCAGGAGACCACAACGACCGGTCTTTTTGGAACTTGGACCCGTGTTCCAGGCTACGTCCGGCCCGAATCGCCCCTTGAAGGCCCAGGTGCATTTGCTGATCTTCGCATACCTGGACTATACCATCTTCTGCTCGATGATTATACTCAGTACATTCCTTTCCAGACTTCCAATATTCTTTCTCCAAACTGGGAGAAGTCAGACTTCCCCAACTTTCCCAAAGGATTGAAGCATGGCTCCGTGACGCCTCTTACGAAGAAGGAGTACGACGCTGTTGCTGCTAAATTCGGCAATTGAGAGCCTTCATCATCTAATCAGGATTCTGTAATTTAAAGGAGCAGTGGATCGTCTTGTTCATCTTGATCATCTTATGAAGTTGTCATGTAGACTTGACAGATCAGAGTGTCAGACAAGAACACCCAGACTGGAGCAGGTTGTCAAATGGAGATAATGTGTATCCATGCTAGAATTATGATGTCAAACTCTATATATGTACCACCATGATTCTATATCTACTGCTTTACCCTCCATCTTTGCTCTCTGTTCACTCTTTTCAGTCTCCCCCTAAAAGCAATCTACGCCTGTTGCACATTTCTTTCCTCGGTATCGCAACTTGGCGAAACAGATAAACTTTTCCTAAAGCAACTTGCAAGATGTAGTTTTTGTCAATAAGGCCATGGGGATGCGATTTGCCCGCCATTCTGAGCCAACGGAAAAACAGAACACTAAAGTACGACAATGCTATTATGTTCTATTAAGTATCTGTGGCTAAATTATACCCTAAAAATGCTTAAGAATAGCCCAGGATTCGAGATAGGTATTACTGGAGGTAGAGAGCAGCAATTTTGGGTACGAAAAATGCGTTTCGCTTCGTCAAGCACGAGACCCTTCACCAAGTACCGAGCGCAGATAGCTAGGCTGGAACGATATTATGTTTTTTTTCCTCTTAGGCTCTATATAATTCTTTAGCTTGACCAGACGCCGTTCTCTGCTTGTTTCTCTATGTCTAATATACACAATTCCCATAGCTCATCCTCAAGAACTATCCCCTCACCCATGGAGGCGATCATTAGTTCAAGCACTGGAGGAATTGAGCGACTTTTTCTCTCGACGAGCTTGAAACCAAGCAGAAGTATCGCCCATTGGAACAGGAAATGGCAATACGTCTTGGCAAAGGTAATAAGCTACAGTGTAAAAGCCAAGTAGACCCGCGATGAACCCAAACACTCCGGCAGCGTGCATCAACGCTTTGCCTTGCGCAGCATTCCCATCCGCGGAAGCAAAGTAAGACGAGGCGTCAAATACAAGACATAACTCAATGCAAATAAAAATGCAGATATAAACAAGGTTGCTGGCGGGCAATTAGCAGGAGAGTATGAGGCCAGGGTAGCAGACTTACAGCTGGATTGAAGCGATGAGAAAGAAGACGTTGAACACTGCCCATATCAACACAAAGAATCCCAGTGCATTGTTGTATTGAGGTGTGTCGACTCCTCCGTAAGCGTCGATGATGCCCCATGAGGGGAGTAGTGTTGCACCGTAGCCCCCATAAAAGAGAGCTTGACTATGTTAGCAGTGCTTCACCATCACATTGGAAATATGACTTCTAGATTACCAAAGGCTGTCAGAACAGTATATGAGAAGGTATCGCCCTTGAGCATTGACCATTGGGCAGAGATAAGTAACCCAATGCAGGCGACAAAACAAAGGTCTCCGATGAATTGAGTCTGTAAGGAAATACCTCGGAACTCCATCATCGCCAACGAAACCGACAGCAAGGTTGTAGCAAAGCCTCCCATGGCAAGAGGAGCCTGACCTTTGTTAGCTGTCTGCATGATTCAGCGCCAAAATGCCATACCGGATTGCCTATCCTGTCTCCCAGTGGCTTAGAGTGCTCGGAGATGTGAACCCTCTCATCGTGTTTTGTGGACGATACTGAGTGTGCCGTCATGTTGTGATTTAGATGTCGACCAGATAATCCTGCTCAATATCTCACTGCATACATTTGAGGTGCTGTAGACAGAATTACAATGGCTCGTGACGATCAAATCAAGTCAGATGTCAAAACTTGTAGGTTGACTGCAGAAAAGAGGTGAGGTTGGCAAGATGTGGCTAACATAAAGGCTCAAAAGGGGAACAGCCTGCAGGATGAAGCTGGGCGGGTATATATAAGCAAGGAAGCCTCTCACATCAACCCTTGTGTCTTAAGGCGTGGCCTTCGGGATAAATAGGCCAGGCTATTCAAGGCCAGTGGATCCTGTGGGGTAATCTTTGAGTTAACTTAGTCTAGAATATGGGGGTATCGCAGATTCGAGGGCTACTAGGTAGGCTGTAGAGCATTCGTGGTGCATGGCAGATTATTTGAGGCTCTTCGTAAGGCTATGACAATGTGACACATTCTGAATAGACTGAGTAAGGGCCTAGGAACCTCAAGGAACGTATAAGCTTAAGTATCTCTATAATATCTCGAACTAATTTGCTTTTAATTAAAGGAAAGCCAGGCTTTGTATGCTTTCACCTCACTGCTTCAGGACAAATCTCGACACCCTGAAAGATCCACACTTCAATTTAGTCCTTTGAAAGCACGAACCGAGGATGAGATCAATATCAGTTTAATGACACACAGAAACGACCAGCGATGCGGCTGTTATCGGAATTTCGGAATCACGACATACTTAATACGTGCGAGTTTGACTTACACAACATCCGAACTCGGCTTGCATACGCTAGTGCCCGGTTGCCGGCCCCAGAATCCTAGACAATTATGTGATGGATAAGCTTGTTTTGGTAACGTCCATAGACATTGGATCAATCTACTACGTAAAATGGTATCTATCTAGTCCCATTATGAGCATAAGGCTCAGTCTAGAATCGGGTTGCCCCAGACTTTGTGTTATTCTCTGGGCCGGGATAAACCGCTATTATGGGGAAAAATAACGTGGTCGTTGTTTTAGCCTTTTTCAACGAGTTGTCGGCTAAACTTTCCGAAACGAGCGATAAAAAGTATTAGAACAAATAGATGGTCTAATATCCATGATCAATAATAGCAATAGTAGAAGATAATGTATGAGTACGTCTGGTTGGAAGCTAGACTGTGGGCCGCTGGATAACGATTGAGTGTCCAGGTCAACTACACGCATGGCCCGCTCTAACAACCACCATGAGTTAACATGGCAAAACTATTTGATATAGTTGAAGGGTTTTTGTAATCTGGTAAGAGAGATAAGGTATAAAGCATATAAGCCATAGACTCGATAAGTTTGTATACTTGATCAATTGCAATAACAACAAGCTGGTCAAGCAGACAAGAAGAAAAAGAGTCAAACAAAACTTCAAGGAAAAGCAACTCTAACCATAAATATATATTAATTTGCCAGGGAACTTTTCAGTAATCGTGAACTTGTAAGGAACTCAACACTACCTATGTTACAGTTCTCACAGCCAGTACTTGCCGTCACAGCCTTGCTGAACGCCTTGCGCTTTACATGTGAGCCTAAAAGTCTAGGGACAATGAGAATGGAGGCCTTTGGAAGCACTGGTATGGCATAGCCTCAGCCCATAATGTTCTAGCCCTGCATCCATTGGTTGGGATTCAGCCTCAAGCCACAAGTCTTTAGGCCTCCGATCAATGATCCGCTAGAAAAAGGAGCTTCCTTCTTGAGCCACGTTATTCTTTAAACTAGCAAGAACACTTCAATCCCCTGACAATACAGGTGTTATCGCCTTTCGTAGATCGTCGCTTTATGGCATCCTTTTTCTCCTCTCTACTCTACTTATGCAGGCCAGCAACAACAACAAACACACAACATGAACAAAAAGTCAGCCTTGATCTATATACGCGCTCCAAATCTCGACTATGAGCCTGATAAGGCAATTCGCCTTGGCCACATTTGGAGACACCCAATGGATCCCGGCTCGTTCTGTGGACCGCCTCTACCCATTCCTGAAGACATGGAAACGAACCATACTTTCAAAGCCCCTTGGCATATCGGCAAAGGTAGGGCAAACAGTGGATCGTTGGGGATATGGGCCAATTTCCTCCAGGCTGTAGGCGTTACAGCAGAATCCAATTTCGACTGGAACAACACCAATGATGTGTCTCACACATGCGAAAGACTGGATACATACTCAATAGAGCCAACGGACAATTATGTCAAAGAGAGCGTCAAAGCCGTTGCTGCTGAGGCTGTCAAGCGTAGACAGCGTCTGTTCATGGTGACAGGCGTCAAGATAGCACGTGGTGCAGTTGGCTCAATCTCCTCCTCGAGGCGTGTTGGGGGCGGTGCAAGAGCTGGATTCGGAGGTGAAAGTTTCGGCGTCCCATTTGACGGCAGACCGCAGTTCAACATATCCAGGGATACCTACGACGAAGAAACATATGGCGAGTCGTCAGATTTTGTCTTTGCATACCGTGTCCGCCGAATCATTTATCCTAAAGGAGGCTGGGGATCGATGCAGGCAGGATCGAGCATTGTGAATTATGGGCGATGCGAAACGGACGTGGGAGCGTCTGTTTTGGCTGGACTGAGATCTCGGCCTTTCAACTCTAGGCTTGAGTTTTCTGAGGGTGATGAGGCTGAAATATCGGGTCCTCTGTTTTTCGGTTACCCGTCGACATGGCAAGAAGTATGCCAGAGTGAGAGCGAGGGCAAGGGCAAGGGCAGTCTGCAAGACGGAAGAGCTAAACACGAAGTTGTAGTATCTCCGGAAGTTGGCTACTTTGCTGGGTCTTCCGGGGCAAAAAGCAACTTTTCCTCAGAAATCGATGGGCTCATACTTGGGGATGATCGTTTCGTCTTGGAGGAGTTCGGGCATAAGGCCGACCTGATACCTTTTGTTGACAACAGCAGGGAGGATGGTCTATTTATCTCTTTTCGCTTATGAACTGCGCCAGTCTTTCTCTCTCATATTAAATCTCGGATGATTACAACTTCTTGAAGGCTGATGGTACAAAGCGACTTTAAAATTCAAAACATGTTCTCAGTAACATCAAATTGTTCAATAATGCAACACTAAGAATTGAAAATAACGTCTTATATATATAAGTATTTAATTAGAGTTTAAGTATTAAATTAAAAATAAAATGTTTTAAATATCTCTAATAAGTATAAATAAGTAAGAAGCTCGATAGCCTCATCAGGCTGATAGCAAGGAAAAAATAAATCAATAAATAAGTAATATAAGTAATATGAGAAAAATAAAAAAAATCAACTTTCTCCGGTACAGGGAATCGAACCCTGGGCTCCGCGGAACTGATCTCTCAGGTTGTGAGAGCGCGAAATGTTAGCCACTACACCATACCGGATTGATATTATGCTTCGCAATTGAATCCTAGATTGGCTTGGCTTGGCAAGCACCTATCCTCCGCCGATTTCCGACGGCTTGCGGGGTTTTCTCTCCATATTTCCTACCTCTTATTACCTGACAATGACTGACAAAAGAACACGTGAGGATTCGGCAACTGGCTCGATTGGAGCTCAGGAACCAGTATCAGTAACCCCAGTCGAGAATGAACCCTCTAAGAAGCGACGTCGTCGGATCCTCTCTTGTGACGCTTGCCGTCGACTGAAATGCAGATGCGAGCTGGACTTTGGCTCCGACACTTGCTCAAGATGTCGAAACTTGAGAATACCCTGCCTTAGAAGCGATAGTCTGGATCAGTCATATGGGACACAAGAAACGAGCCATCAGCAAGATCTTGTGAAAAGGTACCAATGACTCTCTCAGTTCAGCCAACATTTCTCTTAGAGTCCTAACCTTGGATAGTTTACATCAGAAGGTGTTGCACTTGGAAAGCTCTATGCAAGATATAAGGGCCCAGCTAGTAAAGCTCCAATCTGGACGGGACTCAACGCATCAAAGTGTCGTCGAGCAAAGTGCTTCTCCTCAAGCATCGACAAATAGTCGTGTGTTGATGGACGAGATCGAGCCCGCGGATCAACATGTTCATGCTGCTCCAGCTGAAGTCATCCGACGTGTCGCCTGCCAGGTAACTGGCGACTTAAGAAGGGCTTTCCACACAAAAGAGGATGTCGTGCACATGGGTATGCTTAATGCCACAGCTGCTGAGGGCCTTGTCAAATCGTAAGAGGTCACCTTTCCCATTAAGTCTCAGAATCCTACTGATACCAGCCTCAAGCTTTATTCGACGACGTCGCCACGTTCTTTTTATAAATGACGAGAGCGATTTGGTAACCAGAGGCTCTTTGATCCAAACATCACCATTTCTTCATGCTGTGTTGTGCTCGCACGAGATGAGGTTTACCCACACGAGCCAGACAGATGCCTTGAAACACAGGCAAGTCTACGAGCATATGCGAAACATGCTTGGTCAGGTAGTTCTGGGTAGCCCATTGCATCTTGAAGAAATTACTGGTGTTCTCATTTGTTCTCTCTTCGCCGGATCACCATCGGTAATGCCTCCAGTGCTGGCTTAATATATTTTTACTGATAGATAGATCTAGTGCGAAGCTGAATATGTCGATAGCTGGCTTTTGAGTGGTATTTGTTCACAGCAGGCGATGCTGTGCATTCAGTTCTCAGATATTCATCAGCGAACCAATGCTGGAACTTCAACAAAGCTGGACCTTCGATCAATGAGAATCTGGGCAAACATATGTCTAAATCATCTGCAGTGAGTGAACCCCATACCTTTCTTTTTGAAACGCTCGAAAGCTGATGATAGTTTCAAAAGTTGGTCAGCTACTACAGGCAGACCATCCATATTACCTAGCTCGTACTTCAGCCAGTGCAGGAATCTACTCAATTTCGAGCAGACCACAATGCGCGATGCGATGCTGCTTGCTGAAATCTCGCTTTACTGTACACTCCAGAAAGAAGACTGCGTTAAACCAACCTTCACAAACGATGGTTTCAGCTCCAAATTTGCAATTTGGAAGCAGCAATATGGATATCTCCTTGGTAAAGTATTCATGATATTCTACTAATACT